ATATATATATATAATTAAAGTTACTTTAGTGAATCATATCTAACTGATTTGAGGAAAAACATATAAATGGGTATTAATATAAGTAGTGTTAGGATATTAGAGTCTTTAATTAATAGTCAATCTTAAGAAGATATTTGTGCATCTTGATTTATTTACATACCTTATTATTAAAGAATAATGCAATCCTAAGACAATCTATTCTAAATTTTGAAAAAGTTTAATTTTAGGTATTTAATCACCTGAGAGCAAATAATGATTAAGTTTGGGAGAATTGTTGTGTACCAAATATGTGATATATGTATATGTGAATTATACTCTATTATGTATAATTTTCATACTTTTGTGTGAGATATATAGTGTTATTTGTAGGATGCACGTTTAAATCCAAGACTTGAACGCAAACTAGCTAAGGCATTATCAAGGGCCCAGGTGCCCCAATTTGGTGTCTAGGTGCCTAGTGAAGATCCCTTTCATGTAGGAAATAGAGAAGATGACATCCCAACATAAGCTCACTAACATCACCCTAGCGCCACCCGACACAGCGCCCTAGCATCACCTTACTCAGCGCCCCAACACCTGAAGCACTAGTTCGATGATTCAGAGCCAAAAAGCACAACACCACTACATCTACATCTAGCCCCTTGATGCCATAAGGTCAGTGCCACTGTGCTCCCAACCGACTTAAGATAAATTTTGGCACTTTGAGCGATTTGAAGGGTTAAATTCACTTGATCATCATTCGAAAATGGATTCAATGTTTGGGAAAACTCAGAGCATGATAAAGGAAAAGATGGTGTATGAGAGTGAATTGAAGAGTGATTTCATTGTAAAAGAATGTTCATGGTTTAGCAAAAAGAGAGTCATATAGGATTTGATTTTCATTCATTTATGTAAACTTTAATTTCTTTCAATGAAGTTTGCTTTATTTCCTTTCCACATATTTAGGAACTAAGAGATTTATGCTTCTTTGATTTGATAATGTTATGATTCATACTCAATCAATGTGATTTTCTTAAGATTATTTAAAATGTAATTGCATGTTGTTGTGTTAACTTTTCAAATTAATTTACTTTTAAATTGACCACTTGAAAAGTTAAAAATAAATGTGATTTAGGATTATTAAGCATAGACTAGAAGAACAAGTGAACACATAATCATTTAATGGACTAGAAATATTGTCATTAAAAAATTGCAATCATATAGGGGAAAGAGGATCCTTAAGAGAATTTGCAGGGTTAAGCAAAAAATTAATTATAATATGAGGCCCCAACGCTCTTATGTCAAGGAATATAATAAAGAGTACTTATCCCTGATTGTCAACATTAAGTTTGGAATTCATTAGGAAAATATTAGGAGAATATTGAATTCACGTGATCCAATTCAAAGATGCATGATTTTCTTATTAGAGAACAAAACCTTATTAGATTTAACTTATTTAAAATTAAGATTTAGACACTTCCAAAACTTTCATCATTTTTAACTAGACTAGGGTTAGTAAACTAGTACTTCGACTAATTCAAAAATTAACAATGTTCAGGAATAACATTTGGACTCTAAATCCATGTACTACTTGTTCTACATGTATACTTGGTGATATCCTATATTTTATAGCATTTTGGAGGGATTAGTACATATGTGGCGTTGGTTTTGCATCAGTGATTCAAAAAGAGCACTAGTATGAGTATTCTTGATAGACTTAGCAGAAGAGTAAGCCATATGCTGAATTTACATGATCATCTCTAAATGATTGATATGATCACAAGAGCACTATGAGCCATCGTTAGGATTAATTACTATAGCTTGAAAATTACTAGGGTAGGTCAATGAAGATTATCATTGGTGATTAGTGATAATCCATGAGAATCATAGAGAGGTGCAGAGGTGTTTAACCTACCCCCATACATGGTATTTTTCTCATAATAAATAACAATTTCATCATGAGGACATGTCATAGAAAACTATAAATGTGAGCCACAAAATGATTTGTTACGAGCGTAAGTTAACTATAATGAGTTTATCATAAGTTAACTATAATGAGTTTACCACACTTCAATTGACCATGAAGTCACCTGACATCAATTGATAGATCAACCATGCCAACTAATCGCAGAGACTGAATCAGGTGTAGAGTATCAGTCAATCACAGTCAATCAGCATCAATCAATTAAACTAACTCCATCCTTAGAAAGCAAAGAAACCCGCATAGATAAACAAAGTTGCCACAAATGAGGCATTAATGCATTGAAGCAAAATTTAATTCTGCAAAAAATAAACAGTCACAATCATTCAAGATAAATAAGAATATCTTTAATCTTGTGTTGCAGCTCCCTGATTAAGTTCAGCGAATCTCATTCCAACCCTCATGGAATGCTTCAAAAATTTCTCAGCGCATCGTCGAACACATGTTTCTTCTTGCTTGTCAAGAGTCTTGCGTCGAAAGCTGTCCACACAGTCATTGAAGCATCTCTCCACAAGTGAATTGTACATTCTCAAACTGCAAAGAAACAGAGAACGGAAAGTAAAATGAATACCTTAATTACTTATGATAGATGATTAAGGCATCTAATGATATGATCAAAAGCAAACTTTGGGTGTTCAAAAACAGCATATTCTCACTAAATATCATACAAAATCATATAAGCTTAGCAATAATATTTGGTAGAACTATTATTCAGTATAGTCCCTGGAAGAAACAAAGCCTTTCTTTGCAAGAGAAAAAAGAGGTATTTCGGTTCAGAAAAATAAATTATCTTTCAATTTTTAAACATATGGTTTATTTTGTGAGCCAACATGATACAAAACTTTGTGACATTGGCAAAACTAAACATACACATGCATGCGCGCGCACACACACGTACAAGCACACGCACACGTGCGCCCATGCACATACGCGCGCGCGCACACACACACATTATATATATATATAT